GGGTAAATACATGCAGGTAATACACACATATGTGAGGCAGCGGGGTGAAATCAGGCGCTCGTCAAAATAATGAAAATCAGGAAACTGGCATTTCTCGCAGGTTTGGGAAATTTTTTTTATATTTGTGTTTTGGTTCAACACATTTCATACCTATTAAAGAGCACATTTCTGTGAGGATTTTACTGAAAAACATCGATTAAAGGCAGAAGAAATGTTAATTTTCAGTTTCCATGGACTCTCAAGCTAAAGAAATAGCTCAACTTTGGCGGCCAAAACCTGATTTTAGTTAGAAAAAACAACAACTCAATGGTGTACCATCTCTGGTTAATGAACATAAAAGGTTTCAGTAGGTACATGGTACAAGAAGCCACTTAATTGTATTTGAAGAAGGTGTAAAACCAGCTCTGAGATGGAAATTAAAGATGTAAAGGTGTACTACCTACAGTCAATGAACATACACAGTTTCAGTAGGTTCATAGTACAAGAAGCCACTTAATTGTATTTGAAGAAGTTGTAAAACCAGCTCTGAGATGGAAATTAAAGATGTAAAGGTGTACTACCTACGGTCAATGGACATACACAGTTTCAGTAGGTTCATAGTACAAGAAGCCACTTAATTGTTTTAACGAAGCTTAAAAACTTCATTTCAGAGGGGGCGGAAATAAAGACTGAGTGATAAACTATATCTCGGGTCAATGAATATAATTCTACAGTATCAGTTTATTCATAGTTCAAGTAGCAGCTTAATTGGTTGCTTTTAAGCATAATGGGGCTATCCCGAAAAAGGCTGTTTTGAAAAAATCGAAGATTTTAAGTTTTTGCCCCTTGTTCAGTTTCTTTAAAAGAAACACACACTCCTACAAGGAGAGTTTTCTCTTTATACAAACAAATATGCACACCTATAAAACCAAACTTCTCCTATAGGTAGGGAAATGGCCACTTTTGGTGTAGGTCAAGATTTCTAGAAACCCCCAAAATCTGGGTTAGCCCGCTTGTCCTTAAAAGCGACCAATTGTGTTTGAAAAAGATTTTTTTTGAAAACCTACTCCGGTTGTTTCCCCGACAGTCCTGAGCGAACAGACGTCGGACAAGGCGGTGCGAGAGTTGTGGGTCCTGTGTGTGGAGCAGACGGCGCTGTACATCTCTGCCGAGAAGCTGGTGAGCGTGCTGGAGCACAAGTTTGGGCCCAAGATGGCGGAGCATTACGACATCAAACCTTCTCGGGGTAAGTGGGGTGGGGGGCAGGAAGAGTGTGTGTGAGTGTGTGTGTGTGTGTGAGTAGAGCAGACGGCGCTGTACATCTCTGCCGAGACGCTGGTGAGCGTGCTGGAGCACAAGTTTGGGCCCAAGATGGCGGAGCATTATGACATCAAACCTTCTCGGGGTAAGGGGGGGGGGAGGGAGAACGATGGAGACGGGAGAAGGTGGGGGAGGGGAAGGAGAGCCTTGTCCGTATTTGTGTATTGAAAACCCTCACCTTTTTGACTTGTACTGTTTTCGTACAACCTCTGTCTTATGGGCGGTTGGCAGGTGCTCTGGTGTGGTTTGCTTCTTATTTGCTATCAAACATCCATCTCACCTCCTTCTTTTTTGTGTTTGTTACTCTCTTGTTACATCTCTGATCTTCGGCACTTGTCTGACCTTATTGTGTTGCAAGTGCCGTGAAACTCTTACTAAAAAAAGAAAAATTAATAAGATGAATATTTGGAGTGATTTTCTTTTAGTCAGAACACGACGTTTTATGTTACTTTTGTACATTGTATTGTATTGTAAAGCGCTCAGAGCCTGTGTACTTACATCGGGGTTGAGCGCTGTATAAATGTCTTTTATTTTTATTGTTATTATTACTCACTCTGGTGTGGTTTGCTCCTTCTTTCCTATCAAACATCTATCGTCCTGATCTCTCCTCCTGTTTTATGCTTGTTACTCTCTTGCAACACCTCTAATCTTCGGCACATATATGACCTTATTGTGTTGCAAGTGCCGTAAAGCTCTTACTAAAACTAAAAGGGCCTGTGTACTTTTATCGGAGTTGAACGCAATATAAATGTCATTCATCGTTATTATTACTCACCCCCCTTGCCCCCCTCCAGTGTTTCAGTTCCTGGTGTCCCACATGCTGGACATCCCCAGTTTCCCGGCCCACCAGGCCAAGTCGGTGCTAGTGACCCTGCACCAGTTTGTGACCTACTTCTCCAACCACGGAGGCCTGACCCGCTTGGAGAAGATTTCTGAGGAATGTGAGTACTGCTTTGATCTCTCTCTCTCTCTTTCCCTCTCTCTCTCTCTCCCTCTCTCTCTCTCTCTCTCTCTCTCTCTCTCTCTCTCTCTTGTCT